TAACACAGTCTTATTTCTTGATGAGAATTGGCTACATGAACCAGATAGGAAGTCTGGAACCACAGCCAGGTTTGCGTAAGCAAATCCAATAGGAGCTCTGAGCCACTCATTATATCCTAAACTATCGAGCCCGTTGTGCTCTAACTTTTCAATCAAATCAGTGCAGAGGTTTTTTATTTTTTATTTTTCATATGGGCTGAGTTTTTTTTTTTCTTCCCTGATGAATACCTTTCAAAGCAATATGGTAGAAAAAAAAAAAAAGAATAACTAAGAGAGTGTTAATAAGGGAAGGCCTTTTCAGCCTTGGTATTGTAAAATCATACTCAGGATATTGAAGTTTCATTTTCTTTGTAGGTTGTGCGATTTATGTCTGCGCCATGCACTGTGAGGTGTACCTCATTTATTAACTGCCTGGACGTTTCTAGGCAAAAAGTCAGTGAAAATGATTAAAACCAAAGGTGGTAAGCCAGCAGCCACCTCTTCCTGTGCTATGGTCTTCGATGACGCAGACTGTAAAATCAGGATAATGGAAATCAAATCGGGGAAGAAAAATGCTTCCCCAACCTCTGACTTTCCATGTCTCCTCATTATCACTTTGAGCAGGTTTGAACATGACTGCTGCAGAATAGTTTTAGCTGCGCAGACAGTTACTAATAGACCTCATTCTGCCCAGGAGGACATTTGAGACTTCCGTCTGTGGTGCTCCAGTGAAAGCAGATAGGATCGAGGGAGTTGTCTGGTCTGTATTCTCTAAGGCTTGTTATGGCTTTGGGGCTGGTAATCCCTCTTTCCCACATTATTCATTCATGCGCTCACTCACTCATTCACTCACTGAACAAATATTCATTGAGCCCAAAGAGCATGTCATGTTAGGTTCTTAATAAAATGGTGTAGAAAATAGGCACGGTTCTTACCTGAAAGCATCCTATTTTGGAGGGATGATCAAGGACCATCTCTCTCAGGAGGTAACATTTACACTGAGACTTAGGACGAGGCATCAGCTATGTGAAGAGCACAGAAAAGAACATTTTTTTGACTGGAGATAGAGTGAGTGTGAGGGGCCTGAGCAGGGAAAGAGCTTGACACACTCAGCACTGAGAGCAGCTGAGTTTGGCGGGAGCCTGTGGCCCAGGTGTAGCGGAGCATGGGTGGGGATGGAGAGCTAGGCAGGGGCCCTGCAAGGCCAGCCAAGGAGTTTGGGTTGAGTTTTGAGTAGAGTGATAGCCACTGATGAGAATGACGTGGTTCACGTATCTGTTAACAAAGATCACTTTGGTTGCTTTGTAGAGAAGAGACCGGACAGGGACGAGGGTGGAAGAAGAGAGATTAGTCCCAAGGTTATATAGAGTAGTTTAATGAAAAGATGACTGTGTTCTGGTTGAAGGTGGGGAGATGGAGACTGACAGCCATATTTGGGTCTAATTGATAAACGTAACTTTGGAGTAGGGTTGAAAATTAACTATTCAAATGAGTCTCCCACACTACTCCAGAGGGCCTCTAGATGTGTGGTGTGTGCTCAGGGCAGAGGGCCTCACTGGCCTCTCTTGGTGACCGTCATGTCTAGTCTGGGCCTTGGGTCCCTTGTGTGGACATGCTCTACTGATAGGAGACTGCTGAGCTTGTGCTGTCATGTTTTTGCTTCAGTTGGACCTCCTGGGCCTCCCTGGCTGGCTCAGCCTCACCTCAGGGCTCATCTGGGTCCTCCACTGGGCTCCTGCCTAGGCTATGGCACCTCTGTGTTAGGGTCACCCTCCCTTCCCTCTACAGTCACCTTCCATGTGAGAACCTCTAAGTCCCTGACTCACCATGGAAAGGGCGATAGGAGGCGTGGAGATGCTGACTTGTCCTCTTCCTGATTCTTTAGACTGGGAGGCATTTTTACTTTGATGCAGCCGGCCCTGTGTGTGTGTGTGTGTGTGTGGAGGTTGCCCTGCCAGTTTTCCTCTGAAGCTCCCCACCCGCACCCCTGGATTTTGGTTTGAGTAGGGAGCTAAGACACATGTAAGTCCACCTACTTGCTTCTCTTTCGTCTGTTTCCTCTTTTTTCTTTCTTTTTTTTTTTTTTTTAAAGATTTTATTTATTTATTCATGAGAGACAGAGAGAGAGAGGTAGAGGGAGAAGCAGGCTCCCAAGGAACAGGGAGCCCGATGTGGGACTCGATCCCAGGACCCTGGGATCATGACCTGAGCCGAAGGCAGACACTTAACCATCTGAGCCACCCAGGTGCCCTGTTTCCTCTTTTTTCATACTCCCCTGAGGTGGGAGCAGAAGATCTCTTACTTCTTTCCCCCCTTGATAAGAATTCACCTGATGTCACATCCTTGTCTTCCACAGGACAGCGGGCTTTGTGGCCCAGCTGTCATTTGCATCCCCTTTCTATGCTATATAAGATACTCGAAGGCGCAGATGCCAGCAGGCTGGCTCTTCATATGGGAACCACGGGACTATGGATTATTGAGATTGAGAATACATTGGTTTATTCCTCCAAATTATTGTCCTTGTTACCCTGAGGATTAGTAGACATTGCCAAAGTTGTCAGCACGAGCATCAACTGGGGTCATAGTTCGGTTTATATTGCTGAAGTTGCTCTCTTCTGCCTAGAGGGTATGTAGGTGCCTAAGCAGGGCGATAAAGCATTCTGTGATATGGCCTCAGGGCAGCCTCTCATGCTGTCTCTCGCTGCCCATCTTCCCATACGCTGTGCTCTGGCCAAATTGGACTTCTCGGTGTTTCTCGCGTGCGCTTCATTCTTTCATGCTTTTCTACTTCAGGGCTCTGGCTTCCATAGTCCATGTCTTATGCAATGCTTCCCTTGTTCCTTTCTCCTCTTTTTGCACTTTTCATTAAAGTCCTACACATCCTTCGAGGCCTGGCTCATGTGCTGTGTCTGAGGTTTCACCTTCAACTTGGGACTCTCGCTACTCCCTCTGAGGCTCTCATTTGCCTTCGTTGCAAACCTTACCCATTCCCGTGTTGTGTTAGTGTCTATGTGTTAGTGTATATGTCTGCTTTTTTCTTCTAGATTATAAGCTTCTGGGCCGGGGGGCACCAGACAATACGCAGCCATATATGGACTGTATATCACTGTCACCTGTGCCTCCTGTCACCTTGCTTTGCACACAAAGGTACTTGACAAATAAATAATGAGTACGCAACCACACTACATAAAGCTCTCTAAATCTCACATTAAAAGCTTCCAAACATGTAGAGAGGTGCCGTTTTTCCTAACATTTGGTGGCACTTTTCTGTTAAATCTCCACGCAGACCTCTTGGCCTGAGATAGAAAGAGCTGTGGGAAGCGGCTTTTCAACCTTTTCTCCCAGGCCCATGAAATAGAATGTCATTTTATTTACAGGAGTCTGTGGAGGCCCCCCAAACATGGCAGCACAATCATATATCAGAAACCCCTATCATAAATGAGCCGGATAGGATAAGCCAACTTGAAAGAGAAAATAAAATATTATAACCCCAACTTGAAAAGAAAATATGGTGTGTGGTTTATTGCTGTGGATTACGAAGGAAGAAAGAATGGATTTTAAGTCAAAAACAGAAAAGCAGTGACAGTCTTTAAACTCAATACAATATTCACAGGGCAGACACTCGACTTTAGAGAGCCAAAGCTTCAGGCTCCTGCTCTGGTCTATAAAAATAGATGTAAAATTGCTTTTGCTACATTATTAGTGCTGCATTATTAGTGTGCCATTCTCAAGGCAAGGAATGTTTTAGGGAAAAACATTAACTTTGGTACTTTCAAGTCAGAGTCTGTTGGTCAGAATCTCACATTGCATTTTAAAGACCTTTAAAGATTGCAGCTTTGGGAAATTCCACTCTGACAAAGTAAGATGGAAGAGGGACTTGGAAAAGATTTTCAACGTAAGAAAATCTTTAGCCATCCTGGTAATAAGTTCTGCAATGATCAGAAAGGGGAAGGTGGTCTTCAATGAGATTCCTTTCTTTCTACAGTCACCTTCCATTGAAAGTGCCTTGCCTCCTTTCCTGAGCTTCCTCACCCCCACCCCAAAGTCTCTGTTGCTTGAAGATAGTGAGTCATTGACATCTGGTTTAGACACAAAAATATCAAAAATGCCTCCCATGACCAAGGCTGAAAGTGGAAACGTAAGAACACATGTGGAATTTGTTGGTCAGGCTTGGTCTAGTCTGGGGGCATGGGGGTGGTGTGTACAACCCTCGCTGAGTTCGAAGGGGCTAAGGTAAGATGTGATAGAGAGGGGCTTATGCTCTGAGTAGAGGTTGAACCAGATGGCTCCTGAGGACCCATCCAACCTGGGTCACACAGTCGTTCATGTCTTCTGATTTGCTTGTGAGCCTTGGAGACTGGATGTAGCCTGCCCCACCGGGTCCCTCATTTATAGATTTTCCTTTGAATGCAACCTTGATAAAAGTGTAGCTACTTTTTATGTCTTTTACAAGACCATTTTAGGTCATTAAATGAACCATCTCAAGGGGCAAGGAAGGGACAACTAAAGTGAAATGGCAAATGCAGTCAATTATATGGACTTTTCAGGCTGAGGCGGGTTGTCTGGGGGTCCGATTCCATTGGATTGGATTGACTGAATCCATTTGTCCATCATTCACTCACTTGCTCGCTCATTCATTCACTCAACAAACGCTGTTCAAGTACTTCCTGTGTGTCATGTACCACGGACTTGACCATTGACCAGTTTTCTATTTCCATGCCTTTGTGTGTCTAGGCAAGTGATTTATCACCTTTTCTGGGGCAAGAAAGGTGAGCAGAAGAGATTTTATAGTCACATACTGGGAAGACCTCAGTTTTTAGGGAGAAGTGGGTCAGGTGGGTCAGACATCTGGGTGCCAGGCCCATGTCCTATATCAACTTCCATTTAAATCTCAGACTTAAAGGAAACTAAATAAAAACAACAGCTGTTACCAACAGAGTGATTTCTGTTAATTTTCCAGGAGCAACCAAAAAAGAAATCAGTTAATATAAATACAATTTATGTTCTTTGTTTGTTTCCAGATCACCAGATTAAAAATTGATCGAAACCCTTTTGCTAAAGGATTCAGAGATTCTGGAAGAAACAGGTAAGAATAATTGGGAAAGACGGTCACCGACATTTCTTTTCTTCATGACATTTTTCTCCCCCCCCCACCCCATTGGTGGCTTTTGGCTCCTGCTTTTTGGGGAAAACTTGAACACTATGCCTCTGTGCTGACTCAGGCAAAGAGAGATGGATAGCTGATCTGAGAATCAAAAAGCTGTCCCCAAAAGGTTGAGTTTTCCAATTTTTGTTAACACTCTGTACATCACCAGATCAGATCCCTCATTGTGTTTTTCTCCCTACATCATGCTTGATAATCCAGTCATTTAAACCAAATTTTATGGTGATTTATTATCATCAAAAGATTGCTCCTTTTTCTGCTAAGTACTCTAGGTAGCTACAGGACCCACAGTGACACCTCATTTACTTTGTATTATCAAACAAGGAATTGTGGACAAATAAAAATTATCAGAAAATTATCACCTTTAAGATTAGCTAAAAACTGTTAAAAAATTAGCCATTTTTCTCTTAGGAGATATTCCCAAAATATGTTAGATGTTGCATGCCTTAAAGACAGTTTCTAGAACATGACCTTTCTTGATGCCTCAGCATCATCATTAGGACTAGGTTATCATGTAGGGAAACTCTTAAGAGCTGCTGACATTTACAGGACTATTTGCTCTTGTTGTAAGTGGTCTTAGTGGCTGTGGCATTTTTCTGGTTAATTCTGCTTCTCTCTAAATCCTTTCTTTCCCACCCTTCCTATATAAAATTAAAATCTGTTATCCAGAGAGCTAGGGGAGAACTGAAGTTGCTAGGGAACACAGATCTATCTAAGGTTATTCAGTCAGAAAAGCTCACTTTATATAAACCATACTGAAACCACAAATGTGACACGTGTGTCTTGTAAAGTGTGTAGGCTTTGCAATAACCATTTATGTAGTGTTCAGACATTTTCCTCATTTGGGGACATTTCTTTACATCTGAATGACACAGACCGTCAGGAGTTTTCTCTGCAAGAGTTTTCAGATAAACTATCTAGTATTATATTTAGATCACTTCATGAACTATATAATAGCACATTCTACTAGAAGCCAGATTTATGCTAAAAATCATCTGTGGTGATCATTTCCTTTACAAAATTATTTACGGAGGCACTTCTTTTTTTTTAAAAAAAGATTTACTTATTTATTTGAGAGAGAGAGAGAGAGGAAGAGAGAGTGAAGATAGGGAGGGGCAGAGGGAGAGGGAGAGAGAAATTTTAGCAGACTCCTTGCTGAGCTCAGAGCCCGATGTGGGGTTCAGTCTCACCACCCTGAGATCATGACCTGAGCCGAAACCAAGAGTCAGGTGCTTAACTGACTGCACCACCCAGGACCCCCGAAGCACTTCTTTTTTTAAAAAAAATATTTATTTGTTTTTTAAATTCCATTATGGTTAGCATACAGTGTTATATTAGTTGCAGGTGTACAATATAGTGATTCAACAATTCTGTATATTACTCAGCGCTCATCACAATAAGTGTACCCTTAATCCCCTATGGAAGCACTTCTTTGTGAAACTCTTATTTTATATTTAAAATACATTTAGATTGCTATAAAATTTTATTTACCTCAGAATTTCTTAGTGTTGTATCTACTGAAGAAAAATTCACTTAAACGTCTAGTTTGAAGATGGTGAAATTGTGTCATGTGTCCTAGATCAAGCAAGCAGTTAGTGGTGTGGCCACAGGCACAAGAACTCCAGGCCAAATGCTTTCCTGTTCAGCGAAGACCTTTGTCTTCAAAATTTAGCCAATGAGGAATGCATACTTATTCCTTCCATTTGAGACAGTCCTCTTCCTGCCAGTTAGTTTATATTCCATGTTCAGGTCGTAGAACTTGTCTGTGAACTGTTTCCTGTTGTTTCCTTTTCGGGGCTCTGCATTCTAGGCTTATTGAGGACCTTGCTAGTGATGATGTGCTCAGAATAGAAGCTGGCCTTTCATAAAGAAGCCGCAAGGGTATTTACGATCGTTAGCTTGGAGTCCATGGATGGATTTCCAGGGTTCTGTGAGTTCCCAGGTATTGTAAGGAAAATTGGTGTGTGGATGAGCAGGTGTGCATTTTTCTGGGGAGAGATCTATGGCTTTCTTCAGATTTTCAAAAAGTTCCATGACCAAGAGTTAAGAATTTCTGCCCTAGACACCGTGAGGGGTCAGCCCTATGACTTTAGTTACTTAACTACCTTCTCTTTCTTTCCTTCTGTATCTCCAGTGACATTTAGTACTTGCTTATTTTCTTCTTGGAACTTGGAAGATTGTTTTGATTTTTTCTTTTTTTTTTTTTAAGATTTATTTATTTATTTGAGAGAGAGAGTGAGAGAGAGA